TCAGAGCACTTGTTTTACCGTTTCCACTAATAATGCACAATTTTACATATCAAAATACACTTCAAACCATTATTTAAACAATAATACAGGAGCAGTAAACCGCCGCCGGTCAAGTTTCGGCCAAAAGTCATTTATATAAAATATACTTATACGTCTTGGACTTTATAGATCTGGAAGAGTACTTCGGTACCTGTTACTGAAACTCCTCGACGAGGAGAACTAGAAGTGCCAAGTTTGGCCTCGTTTTGATAGTTATGATAAGACCTTACCTCCGGACTTGATATAGTGACTTGAAAGTGTACTTTGATGACTGCTACTAGAACTACTCGACGAGGAGAACTAGATGTAGCGAGTTTGGCCTTGTTTTGTTAGTTATGATGAAACCTTGCCTCCGGACTTAATAGAGTGACTTGAAAGTGTACTTTGATGACTTTTAGTGGAAATATTTGATGAAGAGTACTACTGCCGTCGTACGAGAGAAGGGCACATCTATCATTTTGGTCAAACTGAGATAATTGGGATTAAAGTTTTTACCATATTCTGCTTCATAGTGTGGAAAACTATCGCTTAAAAGAAAAAAAAATACTGATGATATATGCGTGAAGGTTAGTACTATTATATTTTTTACTTTTTAATTTTTATATGTAATTAATTATTAAATAAATTCAAAAAAATCTTTTCAACTTAAAAAGAAAATATTTAAAAAATACCACTTACTACAAAGATAAGGCATAGTTAACCAAATGTGACCTTTCTTTTTAATATTTCAAGCAAATTGGTCATTGAGTCTAAAAGAAAGGGCACATTTGTCTAATTGCTCCTTTTTTAGTGTAAATTAACTTAATTTTTTCTACAAAAAAAAAAAAAAACAAATAATCATGAGAAGAAAGTTTAATAAACTATAAAACTATAAGCCATTTCTCGTTAGGTTATCCAAATAACTGAAACAAAACTTAACAAATCTTCTTCTAGGACACCAACATTTAAAGAAAAAAAAAACGTTCTTAATATTCAATAGTTATTTATAAATTATTAGGGATAAGCATCTACACACAATTTTGGTTAACAAATAGAACTTATGAATTAGAAACAAAAAGGAAAGTAAAAATTAATTACTTTTATTCTTTTTACTAATAGGTTGGACCCTAACTTAAAAATCTATAAAAAAATAGTTACTCTAAATCACAATATGAAAAATAAATCAAAATATTCTTAATTCTAATAGAGGTAGTAATTAGGAGCATACATTTTGGTTTTGAACTTTTATATAATTATAAAAAACAATAAATAATTAGAATAAGCTCTAATAGAGTACCTTATACTCTATTAGAGCTTATTCTAATTATTTATTGTTCATTTACAGGAAATAGCTTACACCCGTAATTATTAAAGGCACTCGTAGTTTTATATTTTTAAAAATACTATTATTATTATTATAAAAATTAAATGTAACTATAACAAACATAACATGGCACTTGGTTGAATTATCACAATGCAATATATTTGGTAATAACTATAAAAAAGTATAAAAAAATTAAATAATCAGTTTTGCTTAAAATATTAATTTAAAAAATAGTCTTTTATTTCAGTCTTCATAAATTTCTGTGAGATCAGCTGAACTGTCGTTAACGGGTAGGGTTTCCCAAAAAGCTCTTCTGTTATCAGGCATGAGTGGCCCAAGCTTGGAAAGTATAGCTGATTTCCTCTCAGATGTTATACCTCGTGGAGAAAGCTTCTGCTTAGGCAATGGAATACCAATTTTAAGATTTTTAATTCTCAAGAAATCCAATTCTATTTGCTCTTCAGTGTCATGGCTGTTCTTATAGAACATCGAATTGCTCCCACGCCGAAAAGTGATTTCAGACATGTTTCTTAAATAAGCTCGCGGCACAGAATGTTGTAATTTATACGACGAAGAACAGTCTTCAAAATCGTGAAAATCCTGGACTGTCATTTTTTTCACCACAGTATTTGAACCAGTATCAGCGACAGCTTTGCAAAAATCTTCAAAGTCATACACTCGCTTGTTCTTCTTAAGTGATTGCTCCACTCTATGGTGAAATTCATCGGCAGCCATAAAAGTATGACCAACTTCCAGATAACGCAGCACAACACTTTCAATATTTACATCCTTTGAATTGACTAAATATACTAAGTAGGAAAAAAGGCACCAATTTTTGTTTTGGGCCGCGCAGTTATCCACAAAATCACATTTTTGCAGTCCCGGTTTTCAAAGAAAAATGCTTGAAAGCAGCTAATTATGTCTTCCTTTTTTCTCCCTGCAATAGCTTCGTGCCATAAGACTCCCAGTGTTTTGCCAACTCCATGTAACCTTTTGTCACCTACAGGAACAAAACTCTGATTGAAAACGATAAGCCTTGGACAAAACATTACCGTTTTAAATTCTTCCATGCGAGGTAACATAATTACCTTTTCTAAATCAACTGCAAATATTATGGTGTCGGTAATTTTTTGCTTCGTTTGGCTTTCAACATCCTCTTCATATTTTTTTCTCGCTGAAATGTACCTAGTGTGATGATCTTCATATTCTTGGCATTCTTCGCAATTCCTGTGCCTTATTTCCACGTTAGGGTTGTGAATAGAAAATTTTTCGCACAATTCACATTCCTCGTGTCCAAGCTTTGTGAAGGATATTTTAAGGTCATTTACGACATTCCTATAAAATCCATAGGACACATTTATTTCAGGTTCTTTCTCACAGTAATTGTCGTACATCATGCGGATATTGATATCCGAGGGCAAATATTTCCGGTTTGGTGCATGAACTCTCCTATAATGCGACACAACTGGACGAAAAGACATAATATGTTCTTTTACCTTTGTTCTGTCTATTTGTGATGGATTCGGGTTATGACCTCGGCCGTCAGCAATAGGTTTTATAGTATGTGTCAATAATGTTTCTCACAGCCTTACAGTTACTTTTCTTGTAACCCAAAGTTGTGAGAAAAAACATTTTACATACCGTAACTTTCTCACCGTTTTCATCACATAAGAAATACGAAACAGTCTTAGTTCGATCATAGTGTTTACCATGCTCATTATCATGACTTTTTTTCTTTGGTCTTGCAGGCTTTTGCTGGATAGTATTAGCTAAAAAAAAGTGTTTTTGTTCCGACCAAGACATTTTCCAGAAATTACGATTAATAATTTTGCGGTAATCCTCTGAGAATTTCGTTGAACATTTTTTTTTACAAATGTTCTCTTGGCATCCGGGTTTCACAAAATATTTGGTATATATTTTTTCTTCTCTTTTAATTTTCTTTCGTTCTTTAAGACTAACATCATATCTTTTGCGCTTTCTTACTGTCCCTTTTTTTGTAAGTTCATCTTTTGTAGATTCATCTGAAGATTCTGGAATCGTTTTTGCCAAACACGGTTGAGAACATGGAATGACGTCTGATTCGGAGCCAGAATCATCCAATAAAATATTGGCTTCACGTCGTTCATAGTTTTCATTATGACCCCTCATATTTAAGTTTTTAACCACTGATTGTTTTGAGCATTGAGCGGCAATAATGTACGTTTTGTGGTTTTTTGATGGCTCATAATCTTTATCGGCTACTGAATCGTCTGAATCAAAATCTGATTCTGATACTAGAATTTGTGGCGACCAGTTTTGTAGACCACTAGTGGACGGAATCTGTTCGTCAATATCAGATCTAAGCTTTAGATTTTGTAAAGCGCTTACTAATCTTTTACCACGTGACTGCATTTTTAAAATTATCTGAAATAAGGGAAAAACAAGTGAAATTAATGATAATATATGTTTATCATATTCCTACTTAATTCATTAAATATTATGATATGTCACATAAGTGTTGAGCTAAGGCACGGTAACATTATCTTATACAATTCTAACTTCATACAAACGGACGAAGCGCAGGCTATGCCTACGCACCTCGACCTCCGGGTGTAGACATAGTTAGATAATAATAATATTACCGTGGCTTTGTTTGACACATCTGTCTAAAAACCGACAGGTAACTGTTGAGATTACTTAGGTGTACGACCTAACCTACAAAGTTATGTACCTACTCACTTGAATAAGAAACAACATGTAAACATGGATAAAACGTAAATAAACTTACCTAACGCGGGCAAGCTGCTGACAAGCGTGGAGTCTTCGACGTCGCAGGCACAACTGGCGCATTTCAATCAAACCCTGCCCTCCTTTCCTCACCCCTAATCGTAAATAATTTAAAGAAAAGGCACAACTGGTTATTTGTGCCTTTTATACGTAAATTAATTGAGACATACATGGATCATTAATTAAGTAGACAAGGCACACCTAGCATTTGAGCCTTTTCTTTATGTTATGTTTCAGGTGTGCCTTTTCAAAGTAGTTTTTAGTAAAAATCTGTATGAAGTAATAGTCACATCTACGTATTTGTGCCTTTTCAATATAATGGTAAATAAATGTGCCTTTTCATTCTATAAAAGATGAATATTAGTCTCATTTGTGCCTTTTGAGCCTACTGTATCTCCGAATTCCTTGAAGATAAAATTCTACAAAAAATTGAGCAGATGTGCCTTTTTTTTCTGATTCTAAACATGTATATAACTCAATTTTTAAAAAAATGTTAGTTGTGCCCTTTTTTCTTACGCCGGCAGACTAGATGTGCCGAGTTTGGGCTCGTTTTGTTAGTTATGATGAGACCTTACCTCCAGACTTCCAAACTTTTTTTTACTTTGAAATATGACATAATATTATCGGAAAATTTGAAGTATAGTAATACTTATAAGGTTTTTAGTCAAAACTTGTGTGTAATTAAACTACTTAAAAAATTACATATAATCATATTATACGCAATTGTTTTACTACGCTTAAGACATGCTCAATTGGATTTACCAATATATTTGAAATTCTTAGTAGCAGTACGGAGTCAGGAAACTGGCGGTGTTTCACCCCCTACCTCGAAGAAAACGTTAAGCCAGTCGTTTTCAGTGGCTCAAAAATCAAAGGGTCTCATCCGATAGTCATGACTCCGCAATTACTTCGTGCCTTCGAAAACTGTAAGAAATCACTAACTCAAGCAACTCTTCTCGCTCATCCAGACCCAGCTGCAGAACTAGCAATAGTGACAGATGCATTTGAAACTGCCATAGGCACCTTGCTTCAACAACAGAAAGGTAAGGATTGGGAACCACTTGCTTTTTACTCTCATAAGCTCAGCAACACACAGCGGAAGTACAGCCCCTACGACCGAGAGCTACTGGCTGTCTATGAAGCCAGTTTACAATATTCACCAAACATAAGCCTCTTATCTTCGCGTTCTCAAAGAGCAAAGACAAATGCACTCCAAGACAGTTCAGACACCTTGACTACATTGTTCAGCTTACGACAGACCTGAAATACTAACCTGGTAAGGAAAACTTAGTTGCTGACGCACTTTTTAGAGTCGAGAAGATCACTACAACTGTGGACTACGACGATCTTTCACGAGCTCAGGACAAAGATCCAGAACTGCAAAATCTACTTCTTCATGGCTCTACCCTGCAATTGAAAAGGATCAACACTATGAATGGTAATTTACCTCTCTACTGCGACACTTCTGTGCAACCGCCATGTCCTTATGGTACTCCCCAGTTCAGGAAACAAGTTTTTGATATAATAAGCGGATACGGATTATTAAATTTCAATATCTTAATAAATAAGTTTCTTGAATTTCCTTTCTGTTTGCTGTCTTTTGGCCGTTGGATGAACGTAATTGTTAAATGTTCGTGGAAGTTTAAGACATTAACAAATTTATTTAAACGTGACTAACTTGCTTAATTTATTTAAGGACAATGGGCGTCTTGTCAGATTTAAGATTCAATTGAAAAACAATTGAAAAACAGATTTCTATGTGGTACAGTCATGTAGCATAACATGTATAAGTGTGGCTACATCACAAGTGAGTCAGCTTGACGGGGAAGTAAGTACGGTGCCAAACGTAGTGCTTAACGTAGAAACTTTTTAGTGGTAACGAGACACTCCTTAAACTCTTTTATAAACAAATCTAAAATAACCAAATTGGTCTATTAACAAAAAGTAAAGGCCACATATTAGCTTCAGAAACCGGTGCTTATACAAATAGTACAGCAGTGAACCCCCGAATTGTAACCAAAAGGGTTAAAAAATTTTTAAAGCTACTACTAAACTAAACTAATGCAGATGTATTGTTACCCTTAAGGACTAAGATGGGATACCTCGTTTAACAGTAACACCAGTTAAAAGGGTCTCTGCATCTCTGCACTCATCATGCGAAACACAGCAGTATCAAGATGCTATTTAACGTTCATATTCTGCGAGAGCGTGGTATTTCTCTGTTAGAGTCAACCCATTCGTGCCACTACCATGTTATAGCTGCAGCATGGCTCTAATCTAAACTGACTATAATATTATTGTAGATGAATTTCAACAAGGCCACGTTGTTTTATAAATACAGTCGCGTAAATTTGTTTTTATAGTATTTTATTCGTAGAAACCTTTGTGAAACGGTCGTAAGCCTTTCCGTTTCCTTTATCTTCTTATATTTATTTTTCCCTTCAAACAAAAAGACTTGCTTACGACTGTTTGTCAAGGTCTTTGGTATCAGATAATATTTATTGATTTTCTGGGCGACGTATTTGGCAGCGAACATTATATAAAAGTGATGTAAGTATATTCGAGTATTTTTATGTGGAGAAGGGTAGTAGTAAACAAGTTAGTTAATATTAAAAATATTACTATTAATTAACTTAAAAACAAAATTAATTTATAACGTACAGTTGGATTTAGTTATTGTTTTAGAACGAGCGTGACTCTGTTTATGTTCCGTTCTGTTCGGCGTTGAAAGAATTTCCAATACTCCATATCGCCCCGTAGCGTGGGTGTCGTAAGGGGCAACAGAGAGAACAAGCCAGGAAATGTGAGACGAACGAGTGATCCTCTGTTTCTGTTCTGTTCTGCTTGGCGGTAAATGAACATCCACTGCCCCGTATCATCCCGTGACTGACGTAAGAACTGAGGAAACCAAGGCAACAAATGGGAGAAGTCGTTCTAATAAGCACTATAAAATATAAAATACACTGCGGTCGATAACCCGACTGCCAAGGCTGGCAATGATGGCAAATATCTTCCTTGAGCCAATCTATGGGGAGGGCTATGTTCAGCGTTGGACTTTGACAGGCTGTACTGAATGGACGAATGAATAAATGAATCAACCTGTTTTCATGTACACTACTGGCACTAGGTATGTAATTCCTTATCGATTATATCGAATATTGGTAAGTTCCAATTATTGATAAGATACTATTATTGAAAATTTCCTATTATTAATGACAATGAGGTTTTTCTGAAAAAAAAATATATATTACTGTTTACTAAAATACTATTAACTGATTAGAATTCGAGATAAAGGATAGTACCATCACCACCAGGTCTCTCCAGTGATATTTGGGTCAACTGGACGTTGATGAAACCTTGTAGTGGCGGTGTTAGAATATCCATTACCCACATCATCCCGTGGGTGTCGTAAGAGGCGACAGAGAGATACAAATCCGAAAGTGGGCTACAGCGTCTTCCTAATGACGACTAAAAATATATAAGGCAATCTATGGGGGAGGCCAATGTTCAGCAGTGGACTATAATAGACTGTGACGGTAACGGTAACGGACGTCTGTCAATCATAACCCATATATGCTCTTCTTTAAACTTCGATCCTCTCTCATTCTTTCTACATAACCGAGCTACCGGGGGCGATGTGCTTTAATGTTCAAATCAAATCAAATAATTTATTGCCCTACTCATAAAAATCGACGTCAATTTGAGCAATGTTTAAACGGGCTCTTTTTCTATCTTTACTAAATGACAATAGAAAAAAACAGGTATCAACATACTTGATACTTAAGTTTTGTAAGCGACACTCAACGAATATAAGTAAGGTTGTATTTATTACTGAGAGGTAATAAAGTTCTTAGAAAAAGTAGCAATATATAATGCCATTACACATTTATGAACTTTTTGAGACATTGCAAACTTGAAGCTATACAAGGTGAAATTGAAAACATATGTTAATAACACCTAAATAATTTTCGCAAATATCGGAAATACATCATGAAGGTTAATTATTTATATTAATAATAGAGTGAGATAAGATGTTCAACTTGCTCTCCTGCTTACGCAATTAATCCTAGCAACAAAATAATATTATGCACTATACATTTAGTATAGAGCAATTATAGTTTGACCATACCGTAATATGTCCCCGTCACAATTACACAATAATGTATCTTGAGAGACGTAATTACATGATAACACCAAAGTATACAAATCAACAGCACCACTACCTATCTCATTGTTACAAAGAGCAGCCTCTCAGCATCAACATCCTCCTTAACTGCACCAGAAGAACCACAATAATAGACAGAACCACGATACTATCTGAGCACTCGTAGCGTGACTTCACTCGTAGAATGACTTAGGCGGAATCTCTCGCGCACGACGCTAACAGCGAACTTTATACTGCAAAAACGATACGATATTGTTTTACGATATAACCTCGATTCCACCTCGCCATCATAGATATGACGCTCCGCTATAGTGACGCAACCTTTCGCTCACTCTCGATCCAACCGGTATTTTATAGACGCGCTGACATAATAATGAAATATTAATATATTAAATATGAGATAAGAGTTTTTATAACTTCAGATAGAGGGCGGGAAATCGACATCTCATGTTTGTGATTCATCATCATCATCATCATGTCCTGTGCCAACTGTATCCATCGACTTCCTGAATTTCTTACCAGGTCGTAACTCCATCTAGTGGAGGGCCGCCTCACACTTTGGCCAGCAGTATGAGGCTGCCACTCTAGATCCTTTCTTCACCATCGGTCCTCGATTCTTCGAATGGCCGGCCCATTGCCTCTTCGGCTTACTATTGCTACTGCACGTTAAATAGCTGAAAATATTCCAAAATTAAAATCGATATTTTAATAAAAACGCCATGTTCTTTCATTTTTCTTAACGCAGTCTTTCATTACTGATTTAATAGGTACAATCTCCACATTTAAATAAAAAGTAAAAATACGCGATAAAATCTGTAAAATTAGTTTTATTTAAATGTGTAGAATTCGCGTAAATTAAGAAATCATTAGGTAGAAACTCCCCCAAGGGAGCAGTTTAAGTGAGGGGTGTGTCATGAAAATATTCACTAATTTGCATCCCCGTGGAGCAAAAGACAATAGGCCATTGTTTTAATTGAGTGATCTTTCATTTAGGGATTTCACTTGCCATTTAATCATCGAAGAGCACAGGGGTAGCCTTAAAATTTCATAGTACTCAAGCAAGTTTCATTTAACTCTATACAAGGTCACCGTTCCCGTTTAGCTTCCTAATTGCTTCATAGTTTTGCAAAAAAACCGCGCGCTTTATTTCCTACATAGGGTTTAAAATTGCTGATCTCCTCTTCGAGCCGTTGCTATTGTCCCAGTGCGAGTATTATTTGTCGTGTAGTGGCGGCTATATATTGAATACCTCGTTGGTCTAGTGTTCGCAATCGCGCCTGCTGATCATGAGGTCCCGTGTTCGAATTCTCGAAATCGTTTTTCTGTCAAGGAATTTTCAGTAGCGGCCCGGAGACAGAAAGTAGGTGTTTCACTACCGTGTCTCAGAGAACACGTAGGTAAATTAGTTGATCTTTCGCCTGATCTCTCTCCGGCCGTGTGGGATTGCCCTTCCATCGGACTATGAGAGTGAGGTATTAGAGTGCACTTGTGCTTGCGCATACACTCAAGTACTGTAATCCTGCCGTACGCAGATGGCTATTCTCAGTTGATACCTGATGTCATGACCAACATTTAACTGGAGGACAGTATTATTATATATATCCCTCCGTGGATAAAAGGCGATAGAGAGAATGTGTGATGAGTGAAAATATCAGTTGAGAAACAGCAATGTGTCCCGTAATTCTATTAAATATTCTGTGGTCGCGGGTCGTACCAGCGCTAAACAAGAGTACATTTATATTTTGACACATTAATATAGATAATTTACAAAATCATCGAAACTCACAAATTGATGGTAAAGAATAGGCTTATTTTTGCTAGCATAGATTACAATATGTAATGGGAATTTGACACTCGAACTTTTTTTACATTTTATTTGGGAATACCTGTAGATATACTTCAAAGTTTCATACACTCAAGTAAACATTTTATTTCTGTATTTTTTAATGTTAGAATATCCCCTAGGATTTTGGATATTCTATCGTCCCGTGGGTGTCGTGAAAAGCAACAGAGACTGAAAGAGGAGATGTGCAGCAGCGTCATGCAGCGTCGTGATGACTGATTGCCTCATAGGGGCAATATATGAGAAAGGCCTGTGT